TATTCATCATGCGACAGTGCTGGAGGAAAAGGATGAAGTGTTTTGCGACCGTGCTAGTCCAAGTATGAGCAACTGGTCTTCGATGGTGGTATATATTAGCCACATCTCGCGTATTTTAGCCAACACACCCACCTTTTATCCATGACAGACGGCCAAAATAAGCGACCTCATTCAACTGGTTGGCATGACAAGTGGTGCGTCAAACGCCATCTCAATTTAACGTCTCTATAACACTTTGCGTTTCGTGAAGTTAAACGCTTCGATCGTACCCAAGAAGGTCGTCCTGCGCATATGGCCGGTAAGCCTAGATTTACTACTGTAAATCTCTATGGTTGCAAAACAAAATGTGTTTATACTAGATAAAGTCCACGACGCTATTTCGTTTTTGTTAGGCAACCATGCACTGAGTCCTTGACGTGTCCTGTCTTGTTGAATGATTACCAATCGCTCATAACGCAAGACACAGAACTTCTCGTACAGAGCCAACACGTGATCTTGTATTTCGATTTTAATATCGAGTCATGTTAGTTTTCTTCATCGTCGTTCCCGATCGGTGGTAAATGTTGTTTAACTGATTGCTCTAGTAGCGGTGCATTCGCTCCGTCCACATCTGCGATTTGCTTGCGGTCCTAAAACCCACGGTATCTCGTTGTTATTATGGTTGCTCCAAAGCCTAGGTAACATCAAACACATCTTCCTTTAACCTTAAAAAGGAGGAACCGAGGCTTGCAACTGCCAGTGTCCTCGATACCATCGACATGAAGTCCAACATTCAGCTAAAATAAACGACGATTGAGTTTCAACATCGTAGTATCGAAATGTGCGCTTACGGTCGCGAACATGACTCGACGCTCTGCGTGCTCGATATCCGTAGTCAAGCGCTTGTAGGACGGCTCCACGATCTTGCATGGCCCACACCAATCCTTGTGCACGTCAACAACTGCCGCAGTATGGTTATCTATCGCCTGCAGCCATTTCGATTGCTCCAGAAAGTGGGAACGCACCGACTAACTTCTTTTCGCTGCTCTCCAGCACTTGCACCCAGTGCTCGGCGTCCCGAACCTTCGTCACCAACTCCATCGCTGCAGTTTCTTTCCAAGTGGCTCTTCAGATTCCTTTGGCGACGCTTGACAAGTGAGTGTAATGATCCAAAGAATAACTTACTAGACTTGCGATAAATTTAGCTGGGATAAATGTCACTGTAAAGCTCCTCATTCGCGCTACCGGTAGTTTTTTTTACTCAAAAATAATCGGAAACAAACAAAAATATTCGGAGGATAGAGAAAAAGAGCGAATTCCAGCGATACAAGTGGTAGTTGTGGCAGCTATCAACTCTTTCCAATTTACTCACAGACCTCACCCGATCTCCACTCAAGGTCCGGTGAAATGAGGGCCCCCTCAAACACCCAGCTGGCGTCTTCCAAGGCTCCTTGGGTCTGCTCTGTTGTTGGTTCAAAGATAAGGAAACACGTTGTTCAGTGTTCTTTTCGTAATCGTGAGAGCCATCATTGAAGAGGCTTCCAGCGAGTTACTCGAGCCCTCTACGAAGCTCATGATTAGGATCTTGATTGAATGACTGCGAGATTCGATTCAAACTTTGGGCCATCGCAGCGATACCGCATTCACCATTGAACAGCACGCTCGCTGACGGTATCGATGCTAATGGCGTCGTTCTTTACACCAGAGTGCTTCAAAGAAAACTGAAAAAAAAATCGATGCCGTCGACCAAAATGTTGGAGGTGGCAACATCAGCGAGGTGAGACTGTCGTTTCACTGAAAGGTAGTGAAGTGGGCTTCGAACGAACACGTTCGGACGTTTCACAAATGTTCCTGACTCTCAGCACGATCTCAAATGAGCCATTTTAATCCTTGAGAACCTGGCTCTTGAGATTTTACCGGCTCGCAATAAACCGGAACAGCTGAGCCTTGTTGCTTCTAATTATGAAGTGTTTTAGTTTTGTCATTCGCTATTATAGCTTTCCATGTTTTCGATTTTAGGATAACTTTGAGTTTAACAACTATTTTACACACGTTTGTGTCTAATATTGCAAAGCCATTGTCGTTATCCATCTCCTGTCACCACACGACTTCTTGCGCCACTAAATCTAAAAAAGCTCTTTCAGTTATATTAACTGTACATGTACTTTCCAGAGTCTTGCATTGTGTGGGCTCTACAATCAATCACGCTAGCCTGCTTTTTAGATTTCCTATGAGATATGATGGTGTTTTCGAATTCATCAAATGGGTACATGTTCTATTTAGACCAATGACCAACGCTTTTTGATTGCTGAACCTGCGTCAAACAAAATGATACTCTAGCTCTATTTCTTGTCTTTACGTCGCCTTTTGTACTCATGACACGAGTACAAAAGGCGACGTACCCAAAACAAAATGATACTTACGAACCTAAGTACGAATCGCGATTTAAGCACTCAAGCGAAAGCGGGGCGGCTCCTCTATCTCTTGAGCTCTATAACCTACAGAATGTTTAAAACTGAAGAAGTTGTGGTCGCTCAAAAATATTATCTCCATTTATGGGCCCTCGAAATGACGATACATTTAGGAGTGTTGTGAGCTCAATTTGTTTTCAAAATTAAAAATTCAAGTGTTATTTAGAAGCTCTTATTAAAAGCAATTGAACGCGGGTAGTTTTACAGTTTCTTCGATGGAAGTTTCTAATAAATGCCACAGTTTCGGTTAAGTGCGAAAATCAAATGGCCAACTTTAAGCTCGATTATCTCGATAACTCTAAAGATCGGTACTAATTTGTATCAGAACAAAAAATCACATTACAACCACTGGTTTGGGAATCCAAATTTATCATATACGACCATTCCTTCTGTATGACAGCTAATGTTGCTTGTTTTATTTTAATGGAAGGAAATATTGCTTCTGTCGACACCAGAAATCATCGTTATCCGATCGACGCTGCTGTTGTACCAGAACTGCTGATTGCTATACGTACTTTCCCCATTCTTCACTCGGTCTACTTGTGCTGGCTTGCCGATCCGTCGTACTGGCGTTTCTTCACCTAGGGGCATCACAGTGGTGATCACTGGACAAGGATATCACAAAGTTTCAGTGTTTCAACTGTTTACCAAAGCTAAATATCAGCGGTGATCGATAAGTTGGAAACATAAAACAATCTTGAGTATTATGAAATGGGAGCGGATATCTGGGAGAAACTCGTTTGGTCGTAAAGAAGGCGTCGTATCAACTTAATCAAGCAACGAATACAAATCTACCTCCAATGAATAGGATGAGCCTTCATTGCCTTAAAGAGATTTACCAGAGAACTGATACTGGCTCCGCGGAATAGACTTAAATCACGCTGACGCTGTAGCTTGTAACGCTCAGCTTGGCGTTGGTGTCCTTGAAAGCCTGCGTGCCAGCCTGCAGCACCTGCAAGTACTGATTTCCAGAGATCGTATTGTCGGACGAAAGTTCAGTGAAGAACAGCTTGAGGTCGCCCTTGAAGCTCGTAACCGGCTGCTTAGCGACATACGAGAACGCATCGATGTTCTGGTTGTACCCGAAGTACAAGTCAAAGTCGACGCCGGCAACGTTCACGGTCTTGATAGGCTGACCAGTGGTTGACTTAGGCTTTATATCGCCATAAGTTGCCAGCCACACCGTGAGCTCGTAGTTAGGGTGTCCGGCAGGCGTCCAACTCGTGAACATGTCGTAGGCCACGTTCGAGACCATGTCACCATCGGACGTGTAATTGAAGTCGAAGCTGGTGGGGATCGTCACGATCGAGGAGATCTGGTAAGGCTGGAGGTCGCGGTCAGCGTAAGCAAAAGACTTGTACATGGGGTCGCTGTCACCGGCAGAGGTCGGAAAATACAATACTGTATTGTATTGATGGCAAAGTTTTGCCGCAATAAAAATTTCAATATGAGCACTCCCAATAAAAAAAAATTCCGCAATTTAAATATATTGGAGCAATATCTAGCTATGTATTGTACTCTTGCACCAGCCATGATCCCCGTGCGTATGCTGACCCGATAGTCGACTGGCCACCAAGCTCCTCATCATTAATAGTCGCTATCATGTTCTGTGGTAGGTCTGACGACGGCTGCCAGGTTAGTTCTTGAAACCCCACCCAAGAAACTAAAAAGTAGTCTTGCCCGTCTTGACTAGTTTTCGAAGCGTATATACTATCAGCAACATATAAGGCGGGGCCATCTTCAAATTTTGAAGTTTCATCTTCTGAGTCCGTGTTATTCTGGAGAGCCTCCAAGGAAGGCCGGCACCAGGGCAATTCAGCTGCTTCCTTCTTTAGTTCCTGCAAACTTTGCTCCAGGCTGTCAGGTAGACTTGTATGTTTCATCTTCACGTTAGCAAGTGCGAGGAGTTGCTTGTTTCGTTTGCTATTACGTAGCCGGGAAGTCTGGAAATGTAGCTGCTGCTTCACAAGTGCACTATACCAGGCAGCGGCTGGACCTACAATTCTTATCTAGAGGACGACACAACACTTAATGAAATGTATTGATTATTCTCGACAAGAAAGCGAGTCAAGAATAGTTTTCTTGACTGAGCATCTTGTTAGAATATTTGTTTCTAAGTACTTCATCGGAACGATGTAGCAACTAATAATTTGTGCTAAGTATTAGTTGACCCTCCAGTTTGTTTCCGCTTGTTGCCGCAAATATTGCAGCGAAACAGCCCTTGACCTAGTATTGTGAAGAAGTAGGCGGCGATTTGCTTGTTTAGGACCATCGTAGTTCAAAAATGAAGTGAAGTTTGAGTTGTGGCTCGCGTATCGTAGCTTACCAAGACACTCTCGTAGCCACCGGTTTCAGGTTGGTGTGGAGATAGTGTGGTGAACAACGAAAATGATGTCATAAGATCTGATTGGTGATGTCATATCGAAACAATTAAACGGTTCCTACCAGGGAGCCTTTGCCATATTTATTGTCAATAACTGGTCCAATACCATATTGTATTGATAAGCTCAACTACCAATAATACATATTTATATTGCAAAACCCAATAATTTATTGAATCGCAATTATTATTTCCGACCTCTGGTCACCGGTAATGTTGTAGCTCGTGTGCCAGGCGATAGTCGTGGTTTCACTCCAATCCACACCCGTGCATTGCTTGCCGGCAACGGCCCAGTTGTTGTTTACGATCTTGTACGCTCCGACTTCAACTTTGCCGTTCTCTTTGTCGGTACTACCACAGAAATCCTCCGCGTGGGCAGTCGCTGCAGCAAGGGCGATGGCGGCTGGTAGCAGGAACTTCATCGCTGCAGTGGTCGAACTTGGGGTTGAGAGGGTGGATTGCAGAATGAACCTGGACATGGCAAAGAGCCAATCTCACCCAGTGCCAAGTCCCATCCTAAAAAGTTTCATCTGGACGTTTTGCTGCTGATGTCGCAGTTTGGAATCGCCAAATCTGGGTTGTCGAATTACGGTATCGCTTTTACTTCGCGATCAGTCGCAGTGACAATTCAAACAAAGAACTGCATCTGCAAGTAATCTACCTCGACTCGGACGTACATGTATCAGATATTATACTTATCACTACCTCGAAGTATTTGTGTTTGGTTCGCAGTAGAGCTCGAAAGGTTAATCTGCATGCCTAATCCATGTTGTTATCACATGATGCCGTGCAAAATAATCTCTTGAAATGATTACTGAAGTCCCCGTAGCGAACCGTCTACACGTAATTAATTTGCAAAAGGAATACACGCAAACTTGCGGTTTGTCAGATGTACAGGGAGTAGGGGCTTTTCCCAAAACCAGTACCATATGTGAGTAGAAATCTCGAAATCTGTACCTTTCCCAAAACCAGTACCAGTATTAAACAAAAATAAAGTGGACCACTTTATTTTTGTTTTGTGCATTCGTACGTTGAGAGCACTACTAAATAGTACTACAAATTTTGTACTAGTTCCACTGGAACATCTAGCCAACGGGCCTGATCATCGTGTGGGTATACACTGATCTGCCTATAATTGCACTGCACAAGTCGACCATGACGGTAATACGTCGTCGCCCTTCAGTGTGCTGACGGAATGTGGTGGGAAGGTCGTACTGTACCAGATTTGTATCGCTCCATACAGCGCCTGCACTCGCAACTACTTAGCCGAGAACATAGATATGTGGGTCCAGCTCTTCGACTCGAACGACGCGTTTTTGAACTACGTCAAGAGTGACAACTACGGAGACAATTTCGAGAACCTGAAGGTAGTCTTATCTTGCTATGCCATTGCCAATGTGGACTGAAACTTCCAAAACAAAGACTTTACTAATCCTATTTTGCTGAACGTGCCGTTAGCAATTTACAGATTCCTGTCAAAATTGAGCTGACTATAGTAGTTTCGTTTAATTTTCAGCGATTTATCGTCAAATGGTCTGACAGAATTGAATTTAGTGAAGAGGTGGGAGAAATGCAATGTCACCAGCCAATAGTTGGCTTTGGACGACCTTGGTACCATGTACCAAATATCCCGGCGTATGACGTGTCACATTTGATGTAACCAGGGGTACACTTAGGGCTACGAACCCCGTTATAGTACAAACTTTGTCGAAAGTGAAAACAGCTCCATGATCTAGAATGGTATCCGGGATGCAGGTCCTTTTGGGCATTTTATAAGATTGCAGCGGTGGAAATGAGAAGATCCAGTAAACGTGACTTGGATATATTAAACTGGATGAAACAGAAACGGAGTTTAACCCTTCATGTCAAGGGTCTGTCGGAAAATGAACGGGCTCGGATTGGAGAGTATCAAGTTAGAAGAAGCACTTCAATAAGTATTTTGCTTCTCGATGCGGGTCGGCCCGAGATCGACGAGTTGATATTACCGCCCCGTCATGTTCATGTCCAGCTTTCGACCAGTTAAAAATTTCTTGTCGTCACATCAATGCTGTGCTGAATTATTGTGGTCTACAAGAACACAGCATAAATGCTTTTCATCCAAGTTATTTGGTTGCGACAAATGCACATGCCTTTTCCGGGAGAGGATTGAATTACCTGTTCGCCACACCAACATTGCTAGCATCACTGTACTTCCATCACCTTTTTACAAGCAAGCCGGGCGTCGTGTTACCCGACATATTGCGAGTCGTAGTGAGGACAGTATAGGGATAGCCTACAAGTGTAAAACTTTTAGTGCAGCTGGCCATAACCAACGGACGTGCAGAAGGCACAGTAATGATTCGGATTTAGCTAACTCACAATTGATACCGCATGCGATATCCCTCCAGAATTTACGTAATATAATTTCCGGTCGTCAAGTGAGCACAGCGGCACCATTACCTGCAGAAGGACCTTCTACATTTCAAGCCACAGGAAATTCACGTCGCATGCCAGTAGATTTCTTAATTAATTAATACTCCGGAGAAATATACATCAAACGTACCCTACATACAAAACACAACGTTTATCAGTGTGTGTGCGGCAGCACCACGTACGTGGTCGACGCAGCTTCCAGTTGTTGAGTTTGCGCTCAACAATGCGGTGCATGCGTCCACGGGGCTCACGCCGTTCTACTTGAACGGCTTCCGTCACCCCAGAGTGTCTCTAACTCTTCGAGGAGACACTAACTCCTCTATTCTAAGTGGGGGAGAGGTTCGGAAAGCCCTTTCCTCCCAGGTCTCGGATGTTAGACCAGTTCCGCTGCGGAACAAGTGGGATCCTTTATGGATACCAAGCTGAGCATTGTCAGCAGGGTCGGCGATGCCATGGCAGCGGCCCCGGATAGACAAAAGGAGTACTCGGACAAACATGGAAGAGGAAGCTGAAGTGTATTTAAAGAAGGGGACTTAGTGTTATTAGACACGAGGAACCTACCTCTTGACACTGTCAGCTCTGTTGGCAGCAACAAGCTGAAGCACCGCTTCATCGTAATATTTGCGGTCCTGGCCAGACATGGTGCGTCGTACACCATCGACCTGCCCAAGTCAATGACGACGCACCAGACACACTATATTGGACGTCTTAAGCGGTACTTTGATCCGCAGGGGGTTGCTGACTCGCAGACCCACCTTAACCCAGCTCCTCAAAGCGAGGGCCGGTCACAGACGTCGACGAGGGCGTCAGAGCAGGCGCCCAAGCCTTGGTCTGGACGGCAAAGCTGCGGTCAAGACCGTACGCGAGAGGGGCTCCGTACGAAAGGACCCCGGAGCAATACGCCGAGTACGATGAGTACGCCGGGTACGCACCATACGCGTACGTCTGGGAGTGCGTCGAAGGCGGCTCCGGGCGAGGCAACAGAGCCTCAATCCGTCGGATCACGCGGAAGGCCTCGTCCAGATCGGACGAAGCGGCCCGGCGATCCACCCGCAGATGAAGGCTCGCGATCTCTCGCTCCAACAGCTCCGGGCGTCCCGCAAGACGAGCGAGCTCGCCCTGATTTCCGGCCTGAGTGGCAGCATCGCCGCCAGTCCCAAGGCTAAGTGCGATCTCAAGCACGAGAACTCGTTGACGGAGGCGGTCAACCTCAGGGCCCTGTGTCGGATCCGCAGTAGAAGGACTAGGTCGAGAGTGGCGTTCGGGAGGCGCCGAGTACTCATACTCGTACGAGGGCACCTCCGCCCCTGCTTGACCGGAATGGAGAGGGCCACTTCCACGTGGAGCGGATCCTCCAGGAGCAACAACGTCGCGGTAAGCGAAAGCTCCTCGTGAAATGGAGGGGTTATGCCCACTCCGAGAATTCGTGGGAGCCGATTGAACGGCTCCTGATTGACTGCCCGAAGGCAGTCGCAATCTGGGAGCAGAAGCGGCGGCAGTTTCATAAGTAGTCTGGGGCTTCTTGCCCGAACGGGGTGCGGACGTTGAAGACACTCCGTACCCGCGCTCATCATGAGCGCTAGAAGCCGCGCGCTTCGGGGTGTCCTTTGGCAGCACGCGCTTGCTGACCATGAGGGCAAACCGAACACGAAGATTACGCTGGTTCAGGATGCAGGACAATAGCTGATCTTCATGGAGTTCCCGTAACGCCGTGGGTGAATACTTGAGAGACTCAACCCAAGCCCAGAACATGTCCTCACAAGAACTCCAGGTGGGACAGTTCTCGGGCAGAAGCCAGGGGTAGCCCCAAAGAGGGTAAAGACCACCCCGGTTCTCGGGCTTCTTACGACACGTAGTGAAGTCCTTGAGAGGGGTGCGGCGTGGCGCGAGAAGCACACATCGAGAAGCCTCCAAGTTGTCAACAAACAACTGTTCTTTCTGAACAAGAGTACGCCCGTAAATACCTTTAGAGGTGTGGCCACCAGCAAAGCCACGAGGAGCAACGAGAAGCTCCAGGAAAAGGTCAGCCCCAGCGCTCTCCTCGGGAGGCCAATACCCTCGCGAGTTGATGGCAGCTCCCTGGCTGGCGGGTGCCACTACCGGACCCCCACGCACACGCTGGGCAGCTTGGAAGTCCTCCTGCTGCTGGTCGAGGTCATTCGTGATCTCCCGGGGTTAAGAGATAGCACCCTCTTCCTCCTCCTTCTCTTCCTCTTCATCCGAGGCGTCGAAGAGGCCCCGATGGGGGTACCGAGTCTCCATCTCCTCGCGGAGTGGAGACTTAGAAGCTGTACGCTTCTTAGAGGGCTTGGCGCCTTCGGCTTTATGGGCCTTAGCACGCGCAAGACCCTCGGCAAGCGAGAGACGCTTGCAAGATTTCTCTTCCTCATCGCCACCGGCATGGGAGTGTCCTTAGCCTTGACGGCCGGACTCTCAGAGCGCACAGACGTCCTGGGACTGTGATCACCTTGATCACTAGCGAGCGACTGCACGCTGTCGTCCTTGTGCTCGCTGGGCACTGGGCTGTGCCCTCTCGCAGAGTCCGCAAGATCATTGTGCGTGCTCTCGAACTCGGCTTCGTCCTCACTGCCAGAGTCGAACTCACGTTCAGCGAACCGAGGGTTCGAACGGTTGTCTGGAGAGGCCGAGGGCGACGGGCTGCGGCGCTTGCCTGCTCGCTTGCCCACAGCCGCGTCACCCGAGGAACCGATCGCCTCGGAGGCCACCTGAGTAGCCTCCTGAAGTGCAGAGCCCTTGCCGTGAGGCTTAGTGCTCTTGGCTTGCGCCTTTCCGGCAGCAGCCTTAGAGCGTGTCTTCGCACCGCTCTTTGCAGTGCCACGAGGCATGGCTAACGGTCGAAGTGGAAAACCTAGAAGAAGAGCGCACTGACTGCTGCTCGAGGCGCTAACTGTGAAGTGAGCCTCGGTCGCGCTCGTGCGGCCAAATCGATGGTTTTCGACTTTAAGAATGAAAGTTTGTGACGAACACTTCTTCATTCTGATTGGTCGGTAGACCAAACCTAAGTGGGGGAGGGTGTAACGGGGTACGTAGCCCTAAGTGTGCCCCT